TTCTCTCTCTCTCTCTCTCTCTCTCTCTCTCTCTCTCTCTTCTCTTTTCTCTGTTCTCTGTTCTATAGTACAACATGCGGACAGCTAACTTTCCAACAACAATGTCGACAGAAACGAGCAACGAAAAAATAGAAAGAAGTGAAGGAAAAAGGCTTGATGAAAGAGAACACGAGAATGTGTGCGGAAGAATAGGCTGAGCAACAACACAGCGAGAGTGCAGAAGCGGATTTATTCGGAAGAGGGTGTAAAAGGATCGACGCGGGATCGGCAGATTGTGGGAATTTCCGGTTCTCTAGCATCCGCGATACTTATCGTACGGTAAAATCAGCGATATACAGCAGCGTGAAACCAACGTTCCATTTACACAACGTCGCACAAATTTCCGAGATTTTCCGCCGAATAATCGAACAAAGTCGCGCGGCGGATTTATCCGCTCCGGATTTATAGATAAAGCTGACGCATAAATGAAGTACTTTTCCTAAAGATAATGTAGTAAAATAATATCTTAAAGTAGTAGTGTATATAGTGTTATTCTGATTAAAATTAACTAATTAAGTAAAGCAGAAACTTAACTTTGTGTTCTTCTTGAAATATAGAAAAATCAAAAAATATAAAAATCATAAGGAAAATCATAGAAAAATGACATATTAATTTTTATAGATTAAACTCATATATATTTATAGATTAAACTCAAATCTTAAAAGATTGTTATTAACATTTCTTATGAGCTAAGCATCTAATTCTCATTTATTGTTAGTTTAGAAAAATTAGCAACTCATCACCTTATTTTCCTTTCTGATATATACAAAATATACATGTAAAGATATTCAAAATATAACTAATAACAATAAACATAAACTTTTTCTTATATTTTTTACTTAATTATATATTTATAACAGTCATAAAATTCATTCTACTTTGTCTCGTGTTCAACAGCGTGGTTTTCCTCAAGTTCCGTTGGATATAATGCCTCCAAGCAAGAATAGCAAGAGAAAAGTAAGAATTTATATGCTCTCGTACATTGGTTTCTTGAACAAATATATTCTGGTGTGAACCAAGAAGAACTCATGACATTGTCTTTGTAGAAAATATTTTCGCGCGGTAACTATTTTCCATGTTTTCGTATAAATAAGCAAAAGTTATATCACTATGATATAAACTTAATGACATCTTAAAAAATTAATATATTTCTTAATAAAATTAATAAAAAATATTCTTAAGTAATAGAAATAAATTATTCGTAGATACATCGTAATAATTACCTTCAATAATTCTCAATGATCCATGATGTCCCACGATAGAATTAATCGACGGTATCGCACTTAAAATTTCGCTGTTAATCCCGAGCATATCACTAAAACTCACGAAATTAATGCAGGCACGTCAAACGGTTCGAAGGACCGGCAGTGTTCGTCCAAAATAAATATCCTCACAAATTTCTTCGCGTTTGCGATTTTTAAGGATATGAGAAACGCACTAAAACCTTCAAGAGTCTCTCAATTATCTCACGGACCATCATCTTGTTAGTTTTATCGCGTCGCAGAATTTCCGCAAAAATCGAGAAAACCTTCCGCAGGAGTATTATCCCAGGGAACCCGCGGAGTTATCCTTTATCACCGTGCATTATCCTTTACTATCTATTAACGGAATATCGAGGGTCGCCCTCGAGACGCGCCACTGTTCGCGCACCTTTTAATTCTTGCTGTCAATGTTCTCTCGCTGTTTTATTCCGGTCACGCTCACACCATTCGACCTCCTAGTTCTCCCCCATGCGACGTACAGTTGCTACGTGTGGAAAGTAATAGGGACATATTAAAATGGCCGCCCTTAATAACCATCGATTTCACTAACAATCGCGAACCACGTCGATAGCAAATTTATTAAAGATAGCTTGGAACGCGACGCCCGTTCTCATCGATAGTGATTATATTACCGATATATTATCTCGATGTAAAAAAAAGAGATAAAACTATTCTGCAAAATATCCACAGCAAATATATTTGATAAAACTTGACAGATTAATTATGTGAAAATTTCAAAATATTCATAATTATTATGTCTATAAATTATAGAAAATCATTACACATTCATATCCTTTATTTACGAATTTAATCGCTTTTAATAAACATTTAATCATCAAAAGAAGATATATATAATTAATATTAACAAAAGTTATTTGCAAATATTAGATGTGCGAAATTATATATGAATATATTTTGTTCAACATTAATATAACGGTAGAAATTAGAATATTATATTTTGCAAATATCCATTTATGCTTTACAGCGATATAAGTACTAATAATACTATATCATATCTATTTAATTTTTCGCATAATTACATAAAAAATAATAATTAATCAAACGTTAAATGATAAAAAATAATAATGACAATAATACGATACATAATTCACTCACGTACAATTTTCCTTTAAATACGCAAAAATGTCAATAAAAATAACAACAATGACAAAACATCTGCGAAAAATCACGACCGCCACTTTTTCGTTTAAACCACAAATGAAAGTATTGATTGTAGTGCGAGAGCGCACACACAAGTGATACATTATCTTGAAAGGCGAACGAGAATCACGATTGTTTTCAGCGATGTTGTGAACAGCGAAGTATCCTTAAAAGAATCCGGAGAGACTCTCATCGAAGAATTCACAAGGATCCCTCTTTGATCGACGGCAGACAAGTGGACTCATATGGCCGACCGAAAGAAAACCCAAGTTCGATGAAAGCCAATACACTGTCTTCGATCGATATTATGTGTATATGTGTATACTTTATATATATATATATATATATATATTGAGATGCACATTTTTATTATATATATATATATATATATAATAGTTTCAACTTTCCCTAGTCTGCTATATTTATATCAAACCCGTGCATGGATCTGATTCTTATTCTTATTATTTTTAATCTTAAATTAAGTTATCTTCCTACATTTTTCCTTAATCTTTTTTGCATTATCATTTATAAGAAACATGTACAATGTCAAATATATGTGAGGGTCCGCTGTGTATTGAGTTCTGATAGGCTCCCAAAGGACCGTGAAAATCAATCATCCCTACACGAAATTCACGAGAAATGAAAATAGATAATTCTGATGTCTCCTAATTACATGTACATGTATATAGGTATGTACATATACACGGTATTAGTTTTTTTAAATAAAAAGAGAATAAGTATTTGTTTAATCACTAGACGCTTTAACGTTGCCAGCTTTCATGCATTTGACTACAATGGCTCCTTTGAAATTCGTAAATTTAAGCAATGAATACGTTAATACGTTCATCGAGCGCAAACGATCATAGCTTCCCGCATCCGCTTCCATTAAATACCGCCTTTATACGCATTCGCGATGAATGGAACACGTCCCGAGTATGTCGCACGAGCTTTCTAAATCGCGCAAAATTGTTTGACGAGCATTCAAATTTTATCGCGTGGTTAGTAGTCGCGCTGTTTCCAATCAACCATTAACGATTCCTTGTCGCTCAACGTGTCACATTTTATCGCCCAGTAACATATCGCTCTCATCGCAAGCCACAACTTGTACCGCACGTGCATCCTAGCTGTATAAACGAATTACTGTCTATCTTTAAATAATGCCCCGGATGAAAATGCGCTATTCGACGGAATGCGGATCGAAGGATATCCCGCTTGCGGTGGGATAAACGGGAACTTTACACAAGAATAAAGCGACCCGGCCCGGGATCCGCTCCAAGTTGGCACATATCCTGTTTTACCTAAGGCATACCTCCAGAGATTACTCTCCAGAAACGAGCGCGGAAATGTTCCGGACTCTTCTGCCGGAAATACAGCTGTGACCCTAAAGGGAATGTATAGCGCGGGTTTGAAACATCCGTCAGGTCCTTCAGAACGCGACGTCACTCCGGGGGAATGAGGTCCTTCGAGACTCCGTAAGGAAATGCAGTGCGCATTTTTCAAAGGATTAAAACATAAAGAGAGAAAGAAAGAGAGAGAGAGAGAGAGAGAGAGAGAGAGGACGGACACACTA